TTTTTTCCTTCCAAAAATAGTTTAATATTTACTAAGTAATTTATTGGAGTTGTAGCATATTGTAGAGGCCAAGAACAAACTTCCCTTCACCCTCTGAAGGTTCTTTGAAAATCAGCTGAAAAAAGACAGATTAATAGGAAAAAGGGCATATGATTTCATTTGATCATGGTTTTACATGACATGGGAGCCTTCAGAATAAAGACCTAAAGATAAAGGCAAAAACTGTCCATTGGTATGCTTAGGTTCAGCAAAGTCTGGACAGCCATGTACTGAGTGGGGAAACCCAGCAAGGCCTGCCTGTATAGATTCTTCTTGGCCTCTCTGTGCAGCATTCTTTCCTTCTGGGTATGGTACAGCACCGTTTCTGGAATGGGGGTCGTATGACCTACAATCAAACAGAATAGGTCACATTTTTTTTATAGTTAGTTTTTACACAGAAAGATGAGGACAGGGAACATTAGAGTAATGTATTTAGGTTCTGTGACTGGCTTTGGGGAAAGGAGGTTCTGGTTTCTGTGAACTGCCTTGGGGAAGAGGGATTGTGGTTTCAGTGGCTAGTCTCAGGAGAATGAGAGGCCAGAGACAGGAAGTTAGGAGATGGTCAGAGAGAGCTGCTTCAGAGGACTTTATTTTGGAGTATCATTTCCTGAGCCCTAACAATATCATACTTACATTTAAGTAAACTCAAGTCTGTAAACATGGCAAAGGAAAAACTTATTTGAATAGTGGATAGTACTGTATTCATTATTATTCTCAAATGAACATATACCCTGAAGTAATTGATATTGCAAAAAAGTACAGTTCTGTAATTTATGGGTAGTTTGGGGCTTTTCAAGGAAAATTTGTCTACATGTGCCTTCTCACCCACCAATTTTAGTGCCCTAGTCTTAAATCTTGTGTCCCATATAATGCAACTCTCCTTCACAAAAATGATATTTTTGTCAAGTGTAGTACCTCACACCTGTAATCCCAGCTATTCAGGAGGCTGAGTCAGGAGGATTGCTTGAGGCCAGGAGTTGGAGACTTCAGTGAGCCATTATCATGCCACTGCGCTAGTTGACAGAGGAAGGCTCCATCTCTTAAAACAAACCAAAAAAAAAAAAGTTTTTGTTGATTCAAGTGTCTGTTGCCCTTATACTATTTATCCATCCAAGTAAACACATTAGCTTGGATTCACGAGCTTAAATCCTCCTCCTCTTCAGCATGTTTTTAGTCAGAGAAGGTAGCCTACTTCCATGTACTCAGAGAACATAGACTACTGTTGATCACTATAATATTTAAGATGTATGGTAGTTATGTCACTGCCAGCAAAATCATGTAATGCATTTCCAAAGCTTCTAAAGGATTTCTAGATAGGTTGCAAATTTGTGTTAGTTCTTTTGTTAGCCTATATAATTCAGAACTAAATGCATTTTATTTTAAGACATATACTTTAAAGAAGTCCTCCAAGTAGTATTTCTTTTTTGTTCCTTCCTTCATCAACTACCGCAGAATTGATACTTTGTATCATTTACAAGGTGTATTCCATGGTTAATAATCAAAACAACTGTAGTAATATCTTTTTTTCTTTTTTTGCGACGGAGTCTGGCTCTGTCTTGCCTAGGCTGGAGTGCAGTGGTGTGTTCTCCGCTCACTGCAGCCTCCGCCTCCCAGGTTCAAGCAATTCTCCTGTCTCAGCTTCCCGAGTAGCTGGGATTACAGGTGCGCACCACGACACCTGGCTAATTTTGTATTTTTAGTAGAGATGGAGTTTCACCATGTTGTCTAGGCTGGTCTCAAACTCCTGAACTCAGGTGATTCACCTGCCTCAGCCTCCCAAAGTGCTGGGATTACAGGCGTGAGCCACCATGCCCAGCCCAACTGTAGTGATTTTGAAATGTCTTTCTTTACTGAAGATACCATAGTATTAACTCTGTGATTATCATTCTGGGAGTTGTTTATTTTGTAACTATTGACCTTCCATGTTCTTGAAAACAACTTTATTGTCTTATTCATGAATATCAAGGCTGTAATAGGTACTTTATAAAGTAAGTACACTTATTAAAAGATAATATATGTACCAGGTGTGGTGGCTCACACCTGTAATCTCAGCACTTTGGGAGGCTGAAGTGGGTGGATCACAAGGCAGGAGTTCGAGACCAGCCTGGCCAATATGGTGAAACCCCGTCTATACTAAAAATACAAAAATTAGCCGAGCGTGGTGTCGCATGCCTGTAATTCCAGCTACTCAGGAAGCTGAGGCAGGAGAATCGCTTGAACCCGGGAGGCAGAGGTTGCAGTGAGCCGAGATGGTGCCACTGCATTCCAGCTGGGCAACAGAGCAAAAGTCCAGCTCAAAAAAAAAAAATATATATATATATATATGTATATATGTTTATATTCATGTGTGTATATGTTACGTATATGCGGTTGTGTCTGTGTATATATGATTCCAGACATACTGCCATGTACTTGTGAAGACTACTGAAATGCAGAGGTTAGAGAGAACATGGCTTTTCTGGAGAATTGCAAGTCTTTTCAATTATTTAATCAGTTTAAGTACCGAGACAATATAAAATATTTTTCTTCATTTTAATATCAATGAGAAAATATCATGGCATCATATTACTTGACTGAAGATTATCAAAGCTTGGAATCATTTGATCTGAATGTGTCCTTAAGTAAATTGTGTCCTTTTATATTCACTGGCAACAAATGAGGGAAAAAAATGATTTTACAAAACTGTCAGTAATTACCATGGTTTATTCACCCGTGGTCCAAAAGTTGATTTGTGTGGAATGATTCTTCACCTCTGGAGAACTCAAGGAAACTTCTCACCAGAGGCTGTGCCCCAACTTGATATAGATAACACTTTTGAGCTGATCTCTTTAGGAAGAGCTAACAGAGTTTACTTACTTTCTAACTTGGAATTATATCAGTATTGGCTCTTATTTCTCCCCACCCTCAACCATTCTTTTAACTCTATTTTAATCTTTACCTGTGTACAAACAATCCAACTGGGAAAAGAAAAAGAATGAAAACTAATTCTGATGGGCTGCAAAACAGCTTAAATGTATTTTTCTTGCCTCAGTTTCATCTCAAAGGACAGTAACAAAACATGGAAACCACCTACAAATTTCTCCTAAAATACCTTTCATTTTACATTATTTGACTGTTTAGTGAGCAAATCAAGAACATTATATCTAACTGAAAAGAGGCAAAGTTCTGACCTTTTGTCCATACTTACCTGTCTTTGAAAAATGTCAGCCATATAAAGTTAGGTCCTAGGTAAACAGTAATAGAGTTTGTATTTTAACTTTTTTCTGATAAAGGGAGGGGAGTAGTGGTATTGTTTTCAGTGTTTTCTTCTGCCACCATCTGGAAACAGAGTAGTATTAAACATCTTTTTAATTTACTAAGAGTTCTCTTTACAAAGTAATGCCCCCATCTGCTGGAGCTGTAAGGTTTTACCTCAAAATAAGGCTGTTAAGGAAAATAATACATGATCATTTGTGTATTTTTGAATTATATTTTCCAGTCTCATCCACCAGTTTTACCAAGGTTTCTGTAGGAATTGTTAGCCAATTTCATCTGCTCTTGATGTGTGTGTTCTTCCAAACTAAGAAAAACTTGATATAAATTAGTTGTTCTTGGAAAGTGGTGCATAGTTTTTGTTTGTTGTTGTTGTTGCTGTTGCTGTTGTTGTTGTTTTTGAGATGGGAGTCTCGATCTTTTGCCCCGATGGGAGTGCTTACTGCAACCTCTGCCTCCTGGGTTCAAGCAGTTCTCCTGCTTCAAGTCTCCCGAGTAGCTGGGGTTACAGGCACGCACCACCACACCTGGCTAGTTTTTGTATTTTTAGTAGAGATAGGGTTTCACCATGTTGGCCAGGCTGGTCCCAAACTCCTGACCTCAAGTGATCTGCCCAACTCAGTCTCCCAAAGTGCTGGGATTACAGGCGTGAGTCACTGCATGCAGCCAAAAAGTGGTATGTTTTTATATTTTTAACAAATGGGTATGAGAAAACAAAAAATGCTCAGAGCAGTCTGAGCTCTGAGTTATGCTGGCCCAGAGAGATGTGAGTAGTATGGGACTTCAGTTATGCCCCCATACTCAACCCCCAACTCCCTACCCCCTGCCGATCTGTAGCCAATGGATAGTTAATGTTATATTAATGTAGATTCTTGGTGAACAACTCCGAACCTGCCTTTTTACATTTCTTTTTCTCTTTAAAAATCTACTTGTAACTGCTGCTAATGAGCATATATTCAGGGCAACTTGAATCTATGCTCCTTGGTTGCAACCCTCAATCTTGGTCCAAATGCAGTCTCTGTGTATGTTATTAATTTTGCCTCAACTTCCTTTTAGGTCAACACATATAAAACTTCCTTATATTATTTACAGAAATATTTGTGAGTAGAATAAAAAGTTCTGTTTGTAACTATTTTAAGTGTATAGATGTGAGAATTTTTATAGGTAATACCTAATTTTTTGGCGATAAAATCAGTGTTGGAAATATTTTCAAAATGTCCTATAACACAAATTGCTTTTAAAAAGCAGTTTCTTTCCTACTTTTATTTTAAAATTCCAGATGAAGTAAATCTTTTTTTTTTTTTTGCTTTTTGTTTTTTATTTACTAAGCAGAATGCTGTTGACAGGCAGTCATTTTTCATTCCAGGAAAAAGCTGCGGTTGGAACAGCTGAGAATATTTCACTTACATTTTAAAAATAATAACATCTTTAAATTCCACAAGTGAGGCGGGGTGTGGCAATTCAGGCCTGTAATCTCAAGTGAGGCCAAGGCAGGTGGATCACTTGACGTCAGGAGTTAGAGACCAGCCTGGCCAACATGGTGAAACCCCCATCTCTACTAAAAATACAAAAATTAGCCAGGCATGGTGGCACATGCCTGTAATCCCAGCTACTGTCTTCTGAGGCAGGAGAATTGCCTGAACCCAGAAGGCAGAAGTTGTAGTGACCCAAGATTGCAACACTGCACTCCCACCGGGGCAACAGTGAGATTCTGTCTCAAAAAAAAAAAAAAAAAATTCAACAAGTCAGCTGGATTTAGTAATGTCTCCAAACTGGATTCATATACCTACATTGTGTATTAATGAGCTGAAAGTAAATGAATATGTGATGGTGCCACTCGGAACCCCTTCTTGTTATTGATCTTGAACTCTTTCCTTAGGGCTTCTGGGTTGCTCTTGGTAACATGACTTGACCTGCTGATACAAGACCAAGTAAAAATATGTCAATTTATATATTTACTAGTTAAGCTTAATTTAGTTATTATTTTTTAGATAAATATTTATAGGTAAACATATTACAATATTTTCTTTCTTTTTTTTTTTTTTTTTGAGACGGAGTCTCGCTCTGTCACCCAGGCTAAGTACAGTGGCACTATCTTGGCTCACTGCAAGCTCCGCCTCCCAGGTTCACACCATTCTCCTGCTTCAGCCTCCCAAGTAGCTGGGATTACAGGTGCCCGCCACCACACTCGGCTAATTTTTTGTATTTTTAGTAGCGACAGGGTTTCACCATGTTAGCCAGGATGGCCTCGAACTCCTGACCTCAGGTGATCCACCTGCCTTGGCCTCCCAAAGTGCTGAGATTACAGGTGTGAGCCACCTGCCCGGCCTACAATACTTTCTTATTCCAGAGGGTTATTTTGTGCCAGCCACCTTACTGACCATTGATATGAAATATAGGAAAAATTGTTTATCTGTTGCCTCTTTGACCTGCGCCTGGACAACTTTGCAACTAAATAAATAGGACATGTTCACACCTGTTATCTCTTGTAAATGCTTTTTTTGGTACACAGTGTTACAGCTCCTGCTCATCTTACTAGTAAGATGCTCATAACACTAAAGTACTTTTGATTATCCAGCTGAGGTACATGGTTCTTTTTCTTAAACAATTCTTATTTTTGGTTTTTTACCTTAAGACAGCTGTAGAAAAAATAATTTAAAATATGTTACTTTGTGTGTGTATGTGTAATATATATGTATATGCATATATACATACATATATGCACATATATTACATATGTACATACATGCATATATAATACACATATACGCAGATATAACATGTGTATATGTAAAGTATGCATAGGCACATATATATGTATATATGTAATATATACATATATACATATGTTTATATATTAGTATATGTATAGGGAAGCATATATGTATATATACATATGTGCATGTATTAATATATGTAATATATACTTATATCAATATATGTATATATTACACATACACATACAAATGTATATGTATGCATATATTGCATATGTTACATATGTACATATATACATATGTATATGTGATACATATGTTAATACATGTGATATATACATATATTACATATACATATATATATTGCACATACACGCACACACATATAAATTATGGAAAGTTCGTGTTCTTTTAAGTGACAAATATGAAATAGCATCCATTTTGGTTAAAAATGTATGTGTGTGTGTAGGCATGCCACATTTTTAACCTAATAAAAATTATAGGAATTGCTGGACTTCAGATATTTATTAAACCCAAGAGATTCCTTTTTTAAAAGATCTCAATCTTAGGTTAAAAAAAGTTTCAAGCTGGCCAAGGTGTGGACCCAGGTACTTAGGAGACTGAGGCAGAAGGATCTCTTGAGCCCAGGAGTTCAAATCAAGCTTGTGCAATATAGTGAGACCCTGGGTCTTAAAAAAAACATTGTTTTTAGTTCCTTTTTTGCACTTCATGTTTTAAGTTTAGACATTATTATCTTTCTACTCTGAAAAATGAAATTAGCAACCTTATGCATTCATGCCACTTTTTTCTTTTTTTTTTTTTTCGCGAATGATTATTTTCAGTCTGTGAAGGCTTATGTTTCCACCTGCTACTATTTATTTACCTTTTTTTGATTTTAGTTTTTTATTTTAGTGGACTCACAGGTCACTATTGTGTGTGTGTATATGTGTGTGTGTGTAAAATTGTGTTTTTAATTATGCTTTAGTTGGCTGGATTTTGTTGTTGAGTTCCCCATATCCCGCCACAACACAAGGTTTTATTGGCTCTGTGTACTAAATAAGTTCATTCTTATTTGATAAGGCTATACCTGTTACCTTTATATGTGAGTGACATCTTTGCTACGTATGAGTCTTGGTTTCTCTCTCAGAACTTTGTAGATATTATGACACCATATTTTAGCATTTTTTCCTCCCTTGTAGGTGTTTTTCATCCTGGAGTCCCAGTGAATTCTTTTTTTTTGGCTTGAAATTTAATAATTGAATTACAATTTTCATCAATTTTCTTCTTTTCATATTTGAAATATTGATGAGAATTTAGGAGATTTTATTGATGCCAGTATAGCTTTTAAGAGTGAGGTTAAAGTTAGGAGCTATGGAGAACTCCTATAGAGTTTTCTAGGCTTGTTTATTATTAACTTGTCTCTTTAGTTACTGCTAAGGTATTTCTGTTTAACAACTTTTTGTTTTGCTTTATTAGATAGAGGAGAAAGATTCTCTGATTCCATTTTTTACCATTTTATCTGCACAATTCCTTATTAAAATTCCAAAGTTTCTATATGAAACATGTATTCCTTTTTAGTGACGGGAAGAAAGTTTATGATCTATAAATAAAGATGTCTACAGAAGAAAATACAAATTGTACACATAGACCTTCAAAGAGAAGTGAATTGTTGGTATTGAACATCTATTATACTAACCGTGTTCTTTCACAATGTATTATCGTGCTATGTTTTGTCTCCTAAAGAAAAGCACAATGATGATTTTGATGACTTTTCTGATGTTTGCAGGGTTTTTTTCATGCCAGTTGAGACTAACCAACCTCTGGGAGTCAATAGACCTAACAGCTACTGCTGCTGTTAAGTAAGCTATGTCATCTTGGGCAGGTCATTTAAAATCTCTGTGTTTGTTTTCACTTCTATAGGTAGTACTATGTGTTTTTTGAGGTCCCTTTCTTTACTAACCCTATGAGTGTATCCCTCGTTTTATGCGGATACTGCCTTATCAGTGGGAGATACATATGTACACATACATATACACATATATATTATTCCAACAAGATTGTAAGTTTTGTTTAGAGACCAAATTTTATATTTCTCATCTTTCCCATAATGCTTGTCACAGCCTTGTAATAAGCAAACACTAAAATGTTAGGTTAAATTGATTGAGAAGGTCTGGCATTGACTTGTAGCTACTTGGTTGTCTTATTAACTACAGTTTATGTAGATTAAACATTTTATGTAATCGTTTTTCAAAATGTGCTCATTTTCTAGATCAGTTGTAATGTCATTCCAGTAAAAATTTGTCTTTCAGTTTAGTGAAAATACATCTTTAAGCAACGCTGGAAACTAAAACCATGAACTCATTTATATATGAATATCTATTACCCATACTGAAACACACGTATGGAAATTGAGCAGATAATGCCAGTCTGTGGTGCTTGGTCATATTTCATGAACCATGAATTGTTATCATAGCTTAACTCAGCATCATCAGAAAATTTATATCTTATTTACATTGCTGACAGTAGCAAGTTGAATGCATACAGTCTGTTGCATGAAAGGACTTGTGAGTGACTTATGACAACAGTATTATTTAGGTGAAGCAATAATCTGTTGAAAACATATTTTGTATTAATTAACATAGTCAACATATATTAATATACTTTGAAACTTATATTTGCAACGTATTCATTCAGCAGTAATTTATTGAGCAACTTATTTTCAAATGGAGTTGGTGGAGTATCCCAAAGCAAGTCTCATATGTGTGCCCTTGTAAGATTTGATAATTCTGAATTCTTTTAAGAAGCTATTCTAAGTTAGTTGTAATCTGCTCATAATATAGATAGAAGTTGTATACGTTTGCTAGTCAGCAAGCAGAGTATTTGGTAAATTGACCAGACTTCAAATTTGACATGAAGGACTGTCATCAGGAATTCATCCAGGTTGCTTCTCCCACAAAGTTTAGGATTATGTTAGTCTAAAAAACAGTGATTAGAACTAACCTAAGATGAGGAGCTTAAGTTCGTTGTGCAAACTAAATGGAGGGCTTTTATATTCTATTTCTAAGGTAGGAAAACATTTGACATCTGAATGGCTATTGAGCTATATGTAGGAATAAGTTATTAGTGTCAGCTATTTTCTAATTCTGTCTTTAGATGTTAAGAGAGTTTACTAAACAGTTATCATTGTTGTTGGCCAAACAGTCTAAAATACATTATGCAGAATTGGTGAGGTAGACATAGAGGCACTGAGTGAGGGTTTGGATCTGAGGAAGGCATAATGAGAAAGAAGAGTTATAAGTACTCATGAAATCTCAAGAGCAGTAAAGGATGTACTTCATAATTTTTAGAATTTATCAACAAGCAACCCTTGGAAAGCATAGGAATGGAGAATTACGACAAATAAGCCACCTCAGTTGAAAAATGGGAAGTATGAATATACACGTGATTGAGTCTTGAGCTTATTTAGTCATCCTGCTTTGGTTAGCATGTAACTATAAAATTTCAAATACAGATACAGTAAGTAGTGGTCAGTGAAGATACTTCAGAATTCATCTCTTCCTTTGTAAAGGTATAGATCGTAGGGGACTTACTGTCATGGGGAAATGCGCATAGGGCATTCAGAGAGCAGATAGCTTTAGATGACACATTTTTACAATTCCTATAATTTTTGTACTTTGTCAATACAGAAATAAATTTAAAATAGTCAGCAGCTCTCTGATGTATAATATAGTAGTGCTCTGGAATTGCAGTAATGAGAATTTCCTCCATATGCAGTTGACTCTTGAACAATGTAAGGGTTAGGGGTCGAAACACCCCCCTCCCTACCCAAAGCAGTTGAAAATCTGCATATAACTTTTGCCTCCCCAAAAACTTAACTGCTAATAGTCTGCTTGACTAGAAGTCTTACTGGTAACACAGTCAATTAATATATATTTTATATATGTATTACATATTGTATTATAATAAAGTAAGCTAAAGAAAAAATATTTAGAAAGAAAATGTATCTACTATATAAAGAAAATATGTTTGCTATTCATTAAATTGAAGTGGCTCATCGTAAAGGTCTGCATCCTACTCGTCTTCATGTTGAGTAGGCTGAGGAGGAAGAGGAGGGGTTAATCTTGTTGCCTAGGGGTAGAAGAGGTGGAGGAAGTAGAAGGGGAGACAAGACAGGTAGGCACACTGGGTGTAACTACAGA